CCGTAAGGTTACCGCTCCAGCTAGACCTCCCGAACCCCCCCATATACCCCCCTTTACCCCCATTTACCCCCCAAAAAACCCCCCTCCCAACCCCCCTCCAACCCCCCAAAACCCCCCTACCCAACCCCCTCCCAACCCCCCAACACCCCCCACCCAGCCCCCCGAAACCCCCCTCCCAACCCCCCTAGAGTGTATTAGGCAGAGGGTCGGGGGTTCGATTCCCGGCCGCGGGGAAAACTTTTTGCTTTTTGGGTATTCGGTTCTGGGGGGGTGACAAGCCTAGAGGACAGTCAATTTTTTTGTGGAACTCTTTTTTAAAACAATACGACCCGGATTTTTACCCGGTGAATTGCTTTATTTGCTTTATTTGAGATTATGGCTTGTTTTTATTTTCGGAATGACACCATTAATTGATTGTAATGATATGCCCTACACAAATAACTCATTGGGAAGCCGTTTTGCCCAAAATTGCAGCGTTTTGCCAGCCTTGAGCGTGGAAATGAAAATTCTATCAAAAATTTTGCTTTCAGGAAGATTTGGTGTCTAAAAAGTTGTCAAATCGCAGCTATTGTATATAGGAAAGCTAGTTTACACTTTTTAAATAGATTTCGTTGTAGAAACCAACAAAAAATTAGTTTAATCATTTGTTATCCATTGACAGCAAGCAAAACCGACAAAACTAACCAGTTTCCCACTTTTTTCGTGCCCGAGTGGTTGTTCAATACTTGCGAAAGCTAATAGTAAGCAAAAAACATTAGTATAATAAGTGTAGTTAACTTATAGTTTATGTATCGAACCCCCCAAAACACCCCCCAAAACCCCCCAAAAAACCCCCCACAACCCCCCTCCCAACCCCCCTCCAACCCCCCAAAACCCCCTGCCCAACCCCCCATTACCCCCCTGCCCAACCCCCCAAAACCCCCCTACCCAACCCCCCTCCAACCCCCCTAAGTAGGGGGGTAAAGAGAGGGGGGTTCGGGAGGTCTAGCTCCAGCCACACCCTCCCAACCACCGATATTTTAGCGCAGCCGAAGACGGACGATATCTGGGAACTTAAGACGCCCGGTAGGTGCCAATTTACCATTGCCAGACCCCCACCTAAACCATGCTGGTTCTTTCGCATTATCGCCAGGGGGCAACTTTGTTGCAATCCGCATTTTTCAAATATACAGGGTGTCCCAATCAAAAAGATCACGCTGTCATTTCGGCATTTCAATTCCGAACGACTTCAAATTTTGAACAGGGATGCGCAAGGGGATTTAAAATGTTCTCAGAAACTTTCAGCCCCCTAGCTACAGTAGTTTTCGGGGGGTGAAAATAAACTCTTACCGCCGCCCGATGATTTGCAGTGCACTCGGAGCTGCTGTCCCAGTGGAGGTCGGCACAGAAGCCGGGCGAATCGGTGGGTGATTCTTAGGCCGGGCCTAACACCAAGCTTGAGCCTAAAGGAAAGCGTTTTTGACCCAGGTCGCAAATTGCTATGTAATATATTAGGTTGGAACTAAAGTTCGCGCAATATTTTTCTTTCTTTGTCATTTTCGGACCGGAAAACGGGCAATAACCAAAATGTTTTTTGGATGAACGGATATGCAATAAAATTCTGTATTCGATGTGTGGGACGGAATCGCGTTGCTTCCCTAATAGAATTTTTTAAAGCTAGATTTAAGCGAAAATGAAAAGTCACTTCGGCCCGCCTTTACAACACAAATTTGGCTTCCTTTTTAGGCTAATTCGGCATGCAGCTGATAGATATAACTTACTATTATAGTGATGATCAGTTCCTATGGTGACTTTATGGCGGTTCGGAAAGATGTCCGGGTCAAAAATTTGAAGTGCCCTCGAGAGAAACGCAAAAATCTTCAAAACTACTGGGGTTAAAAGCCTGTAATTTTGGTCCCACATCCTCATGAACCCAATAGATAAATGCAAAGAAGGAACATCGGAATCTGGCCACTAAATTTTCAGAAAGAAATTTCCAAAGTTCGATTGCGCGAACTTATGTTCCAACCTAATACATCAATCGACAAAGGGTTGAAAATAAATGTGAGGTTTAAATATTAGTTTTTGCTGTACGCCTCTCCCTAAAAAGTTATTTGGGTTTTAAAGTGACGTTTTTGCCAAAATTGCGATCGTTGAAGCCGAATATTTTGACCTTCCGAGTTGATTTCGCAAAAACAAACCTTGCCATCGTATTCAGAATTTTTGCTCTATCCAGTCAGCAATCTAACTCAAAATTTTTGGAAAATCGGTAATTTCGAAAAAATTTACGATATCATACTTGGCAGGGGCTCCCTTTTCTCTATGTAAACTTCGTCATTTTCGGGCTATTCCAGACTCGTGAAACATGTCTAAAGAGGTGACTTGTCACTAATAAAATATACCATTCTAATCAGAAAAATTTCTCTATCAGATAAGCCTCTTAAACCCAGTTTAAAATAGCAAACCAAAAATTTCGATTTTAAGAAAATAGGCCCCAGGAGCCATGGGAAATATAATAACTTTTTAGAGAGAGGCGTTCAACAAAAACTAATATTTAAGCCTCACATTTATTTTCAATTTTCTATTGATTGATGTATGTTACATCGCGATTTGCCACTTGGGTCAAAAACACTTCCCTTGTAAGCCTAAGACCAAGCCTAAACCTAACCGAAACCTAAGCTTAAATCTAAGCCTACGCGTGTAAGGTTTTAATACTCACAAAAACTTTTTTGAGTTTTTGAGGAAGTTGAAAGTAGGCTTTTGTAACTTTTTGGCACTAGAACACGTGTAAGTTCTTCAAAAACGTCGTGCAGCACTTTTTACACACGGACTCGGAATCGGCGTAAAATTCTGCACATAACAGACCTAGTAGGATCTCGAAACTTGAGGATCACTCAAAAAAAAATATTTTTGTCCAGAAGTGCGGCATCGTTATCGTCCGTCCGGACGACGTGCCACCGACGTCGTCTGCCCGCCGGCTGCCCCTGTTCGCCAATGTGATCGTCGTCGTCGTGGCCCTCATCTACCCCACCAGCTCTCTCATCTAATAGTTTCATACATGTGCAATAAAAATTTTTACATTTTGGTTCACAGCTACTTCAATATGCGCAAATACAAGACCATCGGAAATCTGCGCTAAAACTATGAGGATTTTATATAAAAAATTATTTTTAGGCGGGGGAGGGGGTTTAGGCGGGGGGGATCGAACTTTTTTCCGCCCAAGACTATATTTATTATTTAAATAGTGGAAGTTCCTCGCTTCGCGACTTTTCAAACCTGGGACCGTTTGACCCCATTTTATTTTATCCTTCACTTTGCATAATTGTCCTGAATTCAGATGGCAAAAAATGAAAAACAATTGCCCCTTAATATAGTCTAACCCCCATTTTCGGTCTATGCGAATTGTTTCGAACACAGAAGCTTTTAGAACACTTAAAATTAAGGTCGAAAATACAACCATTTTTTATAAGGGCCGGTGAAGGCCGACGACGCTCAATTCCGCGTTCCGCAATTAAGCGGTGGGGGTTTGGGCGAGTTTTAGCTGGTGCAAAGTTCGTGCGGGTCGTTTTTCGGTGCTGCAGCCCGGATCGGAAAGATGGGATTTGCTATCAAAACTTTGAAATTCATGATCTCAAGTTTCATAATGTCGATGTTCAGAATTCCGACGTTGTTTTGCATAGGTTCTGGGGTTTTCCCGTGAAAATTAACTTATTTAGACGTCGATATTCTGAATTTCGACGTCATTACATTTCGGCAATACAAACTTTCGATATATTGAGCTTCGACATTTTGAAAAGAAAGCGAAGGATGGATTTGCAGAGGCCTGGTGTACAATATGTATTCAATATTTGTTCAGTAGGGATTCATTGCGTACTCTTACATGGACGAAGTGGAATTTCGCAAAACCCTCACGGCTACCCCCGGGTAATCGACTATGGAGAATACGATTTTTTATGAATGGAATTTCCCAACCCCATGTCAAAAATCAGCTCAAAATTTGGCCTGGCGGCCGAGAAAACGGCCGTGCAGAAACAGACATACTTTCCTCGCTAATAGGGTAGGAAGTGCCAGAAAGCGTCGAAATGGGTCCCCTCTCGGCCACTAAGTCTCGATAACTACTGCACACGGCAAAAATACTTTTAGGCTTTATCTTGTATCTAACTTATCTTGACGGCGTCTGTATTAGTTCAACTTCAACTTCTATGCTACTTGAAAACAGGCGTCGCCCTCCGTCGCGTCCGCGTTGCTTCTAAAATTGACATGTAGAAAAATTTACGCTTAACACCTTTCTTCTAATATAAAGTTACCCGCGGGGGAGAGTGAGACTTGTGAGAATTTTTATGTGTTATGTGTAATTATAAGACCTTTAGCCCTTTAGAATGCCCTCATCCACTCAGGAACACATTACAAATCTAAAACAAAAACACTGTTGGCATTTTTTGCCTCTTAAATGTAATTCGAACGAATCTTGCGACCTATCAGAGCAAACACGTGAAGTACACTCTCATACATAAAACTACCTTTTAATAATAACTGCTTTATTTCTCTGCTGAAAATTTGCTTTAGTATATAAAAAAATAGTGTCTGTGTGTGTGTGTCTGTGTACATTTGCATGCAACTTCCGTCAGGTTGTTCCAGTAGTATCTCAATAAGGGGAGTAGTTAAGGGCATGTTTGATACGTCATTAGGTGCGTAATGGCCTGGGGGTGACTGCACACCAATAAATTTTCAAAAATGAGCAGTTTTCGACGTTAAAATTAAGTTTTTTGTTGAAAAATGAGCCACCCTCTTTGTTAGGAAACAATTAGCATACGCCGGAAGTTGCGGTAGCCTATATAAGGCAAGAGAGGTAGCGTTTCTCATTTTTTTGTCATCGAAAATCGTGAGAATTATGCAAAGTGAAGAATATTATCGAATCAGACGGGGCCAGGGTTGAAAAGGCGCGAAGCGGCTTTTCAACCCTGGTTTGCTTTAAAACGCCACATTAAGAGCAAGAAGCTTCAAATTTATTCAAATCCTCAGCCCCACTCGAGCCATTTCGGCCCCTCGCACGGGTTATCGTCGCACAGCGGGAACTGGAAAACTTGGTTGTAAAATGCATTTGGGAAACATACCCAATCCCGCAGAACAATTCGCCGCGCGCCGCAATCCACATCGGCTGGGCAGAGCATGCAGCATTTCAGGCCCTAAAAATTTACAAAAAAAACAAACATTTTTATGCTCTAGAAAACATACCGCCTCACATTCCTTAGTCGACTGGCAGTATGTGCCCTTGGGACGTCCAAGTTGCGGATATTCCTCAATGCCGCAATTCATAATATCCACAATCATAATGCCGAGATTTCAGAATGCAAAACTTATTCATCTTGATATTCTTAATATCGCAATTTATGATCCAAAAATTTCTCAATGTCGAAATTAATATATTGAAATTTATAATGTCGAATTTGTTAATGTCGAAAGATGGGCACGTCGCAAGTTTAGAATTTCTACATTTTTTTAATGCCAATTTCAGACCGTCCAAATATCTTGATGCCAAAAATTGACAATGCTCAATTTCATAATGCCGAATTTACTGATTTACTAATTTAATGCCCAGGACTGATAATCTAGATGATTCGGAATGTTGAACATCAAAGTGTCGAAATTCGTCATGCCAAAATTTTGCAATTTTATTATGTAGCGATTTTATAAAGCCAAGATTTTGTAACTTGGAAATTCATCATGCTAAAACTTGCCTAGCAAATCTGCCGGGGTAAGACTTTACCTTACCCCCCTCCACACCCGAAGGGTCTCAATCGGGATTTTCTCAACGCCGTTCGATAGAGCGTCGAAAAATATACTGCGAGTTTTAATTTAAGCCTACAATAATGTAAAATAAAAAAGTTATAACCAAAAACTTCCGGCTGCCGTGGGGGGACGGGGGGGGGGGAGGGTAAAGTAAAGTGTAGCCTCGCCGGAAAATCCATAAAAAGCATTCAAAAAAAATCCGTAATTTGAATTTTCGGACTAATCAGTTTCGACATTATATACAAGACCCTTATTAGCCCGTTATTAGAGAATCAAACCGCTCCAATTATCAGTATTTATTCTGCCTAACAGCCCCCGAATTACCTCGGCCTGCACAGCAGTGAGCAAGAGCACTAGGCAGATAAACAGAGAGAAGCGCATGGCTGGTTCAGTGCTCCCATATCGGTCTTCAGTCAATTTATAGCCGCGCATCGTTTTCGAATTTGTCGTTGCTGGCGCGCCGTTCCATCATTTTTGCCGGTTTTGCCCAATGGTCCCGGTCGAGATTTGGCAAAAACACAGCGATATCGGGTGTTCAAATAAAAGAAAACGCACTCTCTAACTTGGCGCAGAAATATCCGAACGGAACGATACTTCAACCATTCTAAAACTCTTAAAACGGCGAGTTTGATACAATCTTCAGAACCGTTTTTTATTTAAATTAGCTTTTCACAAGCCATTTTGCCAGAGATATCTTTTTTTGGGTTCGCATAGGTGCTAATATGCCTCAATTCCTCCATGCAAAATGACTGGAAGTTGCCGTTAATCAAATACAAATGACGTTCCTTAATGTTTTTAAATGCGTTGGAAAACGGCTCTTGAATAATAAAGATATATCTTTAAAGATTGTTGCAAGCTCACCAGGTCAATGGCCTTTCGAATGGTACAACTATCGTTCCGATCCGCTACTTCTGCGTCCAGTTTGAGGGATGTTTTTTTATTGGATCAAACTGCAGGCTTTTTAAAGACTACCAGAACGATGGAACGCGCACTGTCACCCCGAGGGTGCTGCCCCCAAGAACGCGCAGAGAGGGTCGTCATTAGTGGTGTCCCGTGTTGGGCAAAGACCCTCTGGGGTTTGGGGCGCCTCTCACTCCCTTCCCCACTTGGCCCTGTGGTATAGTGGCTAGCGCGTCGGACTGTGGAGCCAACCATCGCGGGTTCGACCCCCGCCCGGTGCGCAACTTTCTTGCTCTAAACGATATTTCATCGTTCTGACGGTCTTTAAGAAATCGTGGTCCAGAAAATTTTGTAAAAAGTTTTGTTTTCGCGCGGTTTGAGGTGCTTTTGCGAATGGCGTAAAAATCATCACGAACAGAGCTTCCGACGGAACGCTAGAGGAGATCGTTTTTTGGGCCACTGTATTTTGTGCTGAAGCTCCATCAGAAAAAGGCCTTTGAAAGCAAAAGCTGAAATTTATTCAACTCCTCATTCGAACTCGAGCCAGTTCGGCGACTCGCAGGGGCCATCGTCACAGGTGGGCGAGAACTGGAAACGTTAGTCATCTTGATTTTGTGGCTTGATTGGGTAAGAGTTTACTTTACCCCCCCCCCCCACAGCCGAAGGGTCTCAAAGTTGTCGGTATTTTCGCTTATTTTGTCGGGATTTTGGCAAAGCCATTCGATAGAGCGTCGAAAAATATACGAAGAGTTGTAATTTGAGCCTACAATAATGTAAAATAAAAAAGTTATAGCCAAAAACTTCCGGCTGGGGGGGGGGGGTAAAGTAAACCGTAGCCCTTGATTGTTTGAAAGAAAAATTGGAAGCAAAATGGAAGCCGTGTACATTCCCTGAAAACAATTCTTGCCTCAGTTCCTGGGCCGCAAGCTGCGTCAGCCGGGCACATCGTGCAGCATTTCAGGCCCTAAAAATTCAAATAAATACTTCGAGATTCAAAAAAACCGCGTTACATTCCGTGGTCGAGGAACAGGGCGTGTCTTTTGCTTTCTGAATGGATCATCTCGAAAGATTTAAGGATTTTCAAGTTTTTCTAAAGCCGATCGGCAGCTTGTTTAAGGGGAAATCCTACGGTAAGTACCCGGTAATTCTTTACTTTATCCTATCTCCAGCCGAAAGCTCCCAGAAGTTTTTCGCTATAAATTTTATATATTACACAATTTTGGGCTGTAATTAAAACTGTTAATATATTTATTGATGTTCTATTGAATGACATGACCAAAATTTCGACAAAAACGGCAATCTCCAAAAATTTTTGTAAATTCCGGCTACGGGGCAATGTAAAGTCTAGCCAAGTACCTTTTATTTTATTAAACAACCCGCCTTACCTTGGCCGACACAGTAGCGACCAAAAGAGCAAGGCAGACGAACAAGCAGAAGCGCATTTTCGAGTCCCGCTCTCCTCATATTGGTTTTCATTCAATTTATAGCGGCTCAACTTTTTCGAAATTGTCGATACCAGTGCGCCGTTCCAGCATTGTGGCCATTTTTGCCAGTGGTCCCAACGGAGATTTGGGGAAAACAAAATGATACTCTAGGTAAAAAGAAATGATGAATTGTGCCGAAGCTGCCTTCCTGCTTGCTCGGTAAAACGAAACTCAAACGATAAACAGCCCTAGAATCAGCCAATTTGCTTATACCAAATAGGTCAGAAGGCGTTAGAATCGACGATTCTTTAACTAGGTTCGGATCGTTTCAGTTACTAATTTACTAAAAACTTAATACTTTCAGGCTCGTGCTTTTTCAAAACCTTCCAATACGTTACTCATAACTTGTCTAATTGTTCAAACTTAGTTAATTACAAGGTTAAAAAGCCGATTTTTAATTTCTTTTTTTTTAGGCGCAATTCTTACATTTGCGCGTTTCATTTTTCAACCTTCTAAAATTTGGTACTACCAAACTATACTCTCGTAAGTCGACAGCCTCAAAAAGCTCATGAGGAAACAGATTCCGTTCCACCGTCTTGTTCCACCGCTTTTTCATCCTGCCCTCCTGGTTTCGAAGAAATATTAAAAGAGTGGTTGGGTGCACATAAACAAATGAATTCCTGGGTTGAAAGTCACTAAAATATACAAAAAATTGTGTGGCCCTCCGAAGAATTGTATGAGATGCTATCGATCAAGGCCTTTGTCGAAGGAGCTCGTGTCGAGGGGAATATGATTTAACGATGGTTAATGATTCATAATTATTTGAAGCTATCAATGTTATGTATTCCGTAACATTACTCAGCAGCAGCTAAATAAACAATAAATTTACCAGGGTCAATTGTTTGCGCAGCGCGCCGGGCCCATCCTCACCAATCCTATAAATTTCATTTCGAAATGAAGCCCATGACAAAACTGATACTACTATTTTTGATTATTTCCACCCTATCTGATTTTGCAATGTCTAACTCAGATGGTACTCCCGTGATCCAAAAATCTGATGCGGATCCAAACATCAGTAAACCGGAAGAGAAACCAGAGGGCTGGAATGGTAAGCTTCACAAGAGTCTGTTGCGAGGCTTGTCTATGTGAGAGCGAGCGATAGAGAGACAGAGAGAGAGAGATGGAGAGAAAGGAAGAGAGAGAGAAAGATAGAGAGATAGATAGATAGAGGAGAGGGAGAGAGAAAGAGAGAGAGATAGTGAGAGAGAGAGAGGGGGGAAGAGAGAGAGAGAGAGGGGAGAGAGAGAGAGAGAGAGAGAGAGAGAGAGAGAGAGAGCGAAAGGTAAAAGGAGAGGGGCATTAACGAATTGTGCTATAACTCGTTAATTTCAGTAGTAAGCCAACCCCCGCCTCGACCATGCTGGAGAAATACCGACAAACCCATCCCGCCGGAAGACCTCGAAAATGGAGAAGCCGCGAACAACAATGAAAATAAATCTGTGTAATTTTGTTTCAATAAATACATACGTGTTTCGATAAAATAACAGCTGCCATTACTGGCATGAAGGAAAAATTTGTGTATTTCTATAAATGGCTGGCGCCATGACGATACTGCCTTTTTTGGGTGTAGAAAGTGATCGCAGCCAAGGATCAGCTCGGACAATTTTGGCCGATATCAAGGTCAAATCTTTGGATATAAGACATAGCCAAGTGGCGAACTACAGGACCTTCCGAACCTACACTAAGAATTGAAATATGAAAATCGCTCTATTCTTGGTCCTCGCTTTCATCCTGTTGAATCAAACCTCGGCGATGCGGTTCACAAGAGGATTTGTGAGTTGAAGCCTTGCAGCTATACTTAATATATTTTCATCCCCTTGTTTCCATATAAAACATGTGTTTCTAGAAATCCACCAACGAACGCTGCCAATACTCAAGGGAATGTGCGCCGGTACTCTCTCGGAAAGTTCGGAAATTTGAAATTTTCAGGGACTTTACTGCTACGGACTGTGCCCACCGATGTTCCACTGCGTTCGAGAGACTGCTGTGGGTTTATATTTTTATATCCAGCTTATGCACGGCTCTACGAAACCCGTATGAATTACTGACGAACCTGGCTTATCCCGAGCTTCTTGATCAGATTTTCACACATTTTTTTCAGGCTTTCCCAGCTTGCCGTACGCGCGGTGACGTTCGGCTTGATTGACGCGCCAAAAAAAAAGTCTGAATTCACAAAAACAAATCGATAAAGAATCCGACGTGTTTTGCATGTATTTAAGGTTCACAATTATACTTATTTCTCCGGAATTGAGCAAAGAATTAATCTTTTTCTGAAAAATTGGAGGCTGGTTTTTTGGGCTTCATTAGCAGCAATCTTTTTCCTCAATAATTCCCACCATCAAAAGAAACCCATGGTTTTTTCAGCAATCAAAGCCCCCTAGGGAAAAATTTGGCAAAGTCGGATTTTGAAGAGCCAGCCTTGGGTTCTCATTTTGAAAATGCGTCCGATCGGCTGGTTGCTGTTTTTCTTAGAAACCGTTTCTGCTGGGCAACTCTGCCAGGACGGCGGCTTGGAATTTTTTGAGAGCTTCAACACCTCGTCGTGCATCTACTTTGAGTACGAAGGTAACTGTTCTGCTCTTTGCTTTCCACATTTTAGCGCTAAACTACAACGATGCCAAAAACTCATGCCTATCCCGGGGACTCGATTTGATCCAATTTCGGGACGTGAGCACGAGCATGTTCGTGAATTCGTTTATTCCAGACAGTAAGTCAAATACACCAGGCACATCGTCTAAATTTTACCTCAGATAATCAAGACGAGCCGTGGTACATTGGTGTAGAGCGGAATCGCAACGGCATCTGGGTGTACGCGGATAACACAACGCTGCAGTACACGAACTGGGCAGCCGGTTCGTCAGTGTCGTCTGGATTTCAAGAAAACTACAGGGTGTCCCAAAAAAAAGCACCCCCCTCTAGCGGCGCGCAGTCGTGTCCGATTTTTATCGTTTAGGTATCTATCGAAAGCTCTTGAAAAGGCGAGAAAACAAGGAGGGTTCATTTTCTTTATTATCTATTTTTATTAGCAAATTTTACGTCCAAAAACCATGAAAACGGCAGATTTACGCGAGATCTGCATGCTAATCGCGAAATTCCTATTGGAAATCTACCTGCTTTAGAAAAACGTTGAATATCCAGCGTATAAAAATAAATCTCATAAAATAAATCCCGCTTGTTTTCTCGCCTTTCCGAGCGCTTTCGAATGGTATAAAAATTATCCCGATCTGAGTTTCCCTCGGACCGCTAGAGGGGGGTGCTTTTTTTTTTTGGGACACCAAGTATATGCCCGTCTGGATGAACGCCAGTTAGGACCGGCTACGTACGTTTTAGATGCCAGGGATGAGGTGATACGGTATGAATGCGTGACGATGAAGCTGGGAGATGGATTCTGGAGGCCGAGTGATTGCGAAACGCCTCGAAGACATATTTGCCAGGGTGGAAAGGGTGAGAGGGCGAGAAAGAGAGAGAGAGAGAGAGAGAGAGAGAGAGAGAGAGCGAGAGAGAGAGACAGCGAAGGGTACAGAAATATAAAGAATGGGCGAGAGTGAGCGAGAGAGAGAAAGAAAGAGCGAGCGAGCGATAGAAAGTGATAGGGGGAGAGAGAGCGAGAGAAAGAGAGAGAGAGAGAGAGAGAGAGAGAGAGAGAGAGACAGTGAAGGGTACAGAAATATAAAGAATGGGCGAGAGTGAGCGAGAGAGAGAAAGAAAGAGAGCGCGCGAGCGAGAGAGTGATAGGGAGAGAAAGCGAGAGGGAGAGATAGAGAGATAGAGAAATTCAGAGATAGCTAGGGAGCGAGAGAGGAGAGGCTGAGATCGACGTAGATAGACAGGGACGAAGAAGAAAGAGAGAGCGGAGCAAGGTACAGAAATATAAAGGATGGGTGAGAGTGAGCGAGAGGGAGCGAGAGAGAGAGAGAGAGAGAGAGAGAGAGAGAGAGAGAGAGAGAGTGAGATAAAGAGAGACGAGCTAGCGAATTTTTTCTCAGATTCATGCCCGCCGGGATGGCACTACTTCCAGGAGACGCAAACATGCCTTTATTTCTCGGTAGTTTAGGCAGCCTTCTCGGAAACCGATTTCAGAATTTCACCCTACGCCCCGATGGTGACATACAGCTCTTTATGCCAGAGCAAGCCGCGGAGGCCTGTGCCGAAAAACATGGGCAGATTGCACATATTTTCAGAGGGTTTCAAAGGGTATTATGGGAAAGTAAGTTACAGGAAAAAATACGCGAAACTGTAAAATCCAGTATTTGTGCGGCTTTATGAGTCCCCATCGAAATACAAATATCTCGGCAAATTTTTGCGCGATCTAGAAAACGAAAAAATACACTTTTGCCTCATTTCTTATACCCCATTTCAGAATTCCAAACGGAAATCAAGGCAGACGAAAAATTTGTGGCCGAGCATCGCGCGGCATTCAATTTCACCTGCGATGTGTTCGCCTCAATGTGGCTGCGTTTTTATGACGGTGACGAGGCCCCATCTCCGGCCAAACATAGCCGGCCACATTACGCACGGGTAGGTAGACTTAGGCGTAGACTTCCGCCCAGGCTTCGGCTTGGCTCAGCGGTAGGCTTAGGCTTCGGTTCTGGCTAAAGCTTAGGCTTTGTTCCGGCTTAGCCTTCGACTTCGGCTTGGGCTTAGACAGGCTGAGTCTGAGGCTTAGGCGTCGGTTTATTCTCCGCATAGCCTCAGACAGGCTTGGCTTAGGTTTGACTTTGGCTTCGGCTTCGGGCTTAGACTTCGACTTAGGCACGGGCTGAGACTGAGACTTAGGCTTAGGTTTAGGCGTAGCCTTCAGCTTAGGCTTTGGCTTAGACTTCAGCTTATGTAGGCTTCGGCCTGACTTAGGGGTAGGCTTAGGCTTCGCTTTGGCTTAGGGTTTGGCTTCGGCTGGTCCTCGTCTTAGACTTCGGCTTAGGCTCAGGTCCAGGCATTTGTTTAGGCTTAGGCTTCGACTTCCAAGGAGTGCTTTTTTTGAGTCATCTGCAAAACCTTACGAGACCTAGCTCATTCGATAGAGAATTCGATTCTGAACAAAACCCCGTTGTTCTTTTTTGCAGAATGGCTATCTATGATTTTATAAAATTGTAAAACTGCACCCAAATGCCTCTCTTTTGGCTCGAAAGGCACTCATGGTAAGAGACGGTCACTAGTATTTTAATTTTGTAAAATTAGGGATAGCCATTCTGCAAATAAGAACAACGGGGTATTGTTCAGAATCGAATTCTCTATCGAATGAGCTCGGTCTCGTAAGGTTTTGCCGATGACTCAAAAAAAGCACTTCTTGTGAGCTTTGATTTATTATCTTTTTTTCAGATTGACCAAGACCCCGATTGCGCAAAAGACTCCCACTTCGTCGACCAGAATATTACCGTCACCTTTCCGCGCTACATTTGCGAACGTGCGATGCCAATTTATTAACTATTGCGTTCGAGGACAAAACCAAAAATTACTCGCGATTAAATAAATGCAATTCTGTGTTTATATAGTATTTCAAAAATGCAAAACATTTCATCAGCATCGCGGCATTTGTTTTCTTGTAAAGCAACCATTTGAATCGTGAAATTTTTTATTAATGTCGTAATTTGCATATCTCAGGACAGAGAACAAAGTCCAAAAAGGCAGATCCCCCGGATTCAAATGTCTATATGCCAAAAAGGCCCGAGGGCAAAATCGAAGCCATCCACAGATGGGTGACCTAGATCAGGGTATATAAGCCGAAAACTCCGATTATAAGTTATTCCCCCACCCAGCCCCAAGGATGCGTTCCTTATTCCTGCTACCGCTTCTCGCTACCGTATCCCTGGCCTTTGTCAAGGCCACCCCCAAGGTGATCACCGGTACCACCACGCCGGTCTTTACTACCCCGAAACCCACCCTGAAAGCCGTCACTAAACTCCAAACTACACCTTCGACCACGACCACTACTGCATCTACGACCTCTACATCTACTACCACTACTACCACCGCGGCTACTACCATGACCTTCAACAATGCTACTGAGGAAGTTCGGGTAGGTTATTATCGGACCTTAGTTTTTATCATGACGATAACAGCTTTTAATAATTTTAATCGAACAATTTAATTTAATTTAACAATTTTCCAATTTAATCAATCAATTTGATTTTTTAAAGATTTTTGCGAGATATGCCAGTTTTTTTAGCGCCGAATGTATCGATTTTCAGCATAATTATTATCGTAACTCTATTTTAATGTTTCGAAATTCAAAACAATACCTTGGATGAGGTAATACAAAAATGTATTTTAATCATAAGCTGAAATTTTATGAATTGCGAGCCTTGGCTTCTTGGATTTTTCCTTGAATTTTTATCGTATCCAACTAACAGAAATTTTCAAAAAATGAAGGCTGGGATTTGACGAGAATGTCTAATTACGGTAGCTACGAGCAAAATATATTTTTGAGAGCTCCCAAGCTACCATAGCTTGCCTACGAAATTGCAAAAAAATTGTCTCATCTATGTGAAAGTAGAGATTTTGCGCCGCTACAGCTGAAATCCTAAAATTAGCGATTTTTAAGACAACACAATTAACCCTTTGATGTAAATTTTCATCGCAAAATCTGATGTAAAACACAACAAAATAAAAACGATTAAATTTCTGGGTTTGATCCTAATTAATCCACCCCTTTCAGGTTCCTAAGTGCAACTGCAACCAGACGCAAACCTGCCGCGAGTCGATCATCTCGGAAGTGAGCCCGTGCTTCGACGAGTGCCACTATCACCTGGAGGTGCTCGGCAAGTCGGACAGCAACTTCCTCGAGTGCTTCACCGACAAGAACATCCAAGGCTTCACGAATGCCGAGATGTGCCTCCTCGCGGAAGTCGGAGATCTGTAAGTTTTGGCTGGCTCTCTCTTCCTCCCTCTCTCTCTGTCTCTCTCTCTATTTGTCTCTCTCTCTCTCTCTCTATTTCTCTCTCTCTCCCACCCTATCGATTTTTTAGGTGCACCAACTCCACGGAGACCGAGTACATGGTTCAGCCCGATTACACCCCGTACACCAACTTCCACTACCGCAACCAGAGCGCCCAGAAGCTGTACACCAACTTCGAGAAGGTCAGTTGTTGCTGGAGTCTCTTTCTCTCTCTCGCTCTCTTTGTCGCTCTCTCTCCCTCTGATCCATTTTTTTCAGAAAGCCCACAAGACCTTCCAAACGTTCCAATCCTTCTACCACTGCGCCAAGCACTGCGTCCACAAGAAGATGCTCGAGTGCCTCATCAACGTCGAGCAGTGCGTTGTTGAACTCCCGAAGCTCGACACCTTCATGGAGTCGATGAACAACTGCGCCAAGAACCACAAGCTCGTCCATCTGAACCTGTGGTAAGGAGTTTTACGAACTCCCTCTCTCTCTCTCTCTCTCTCTCTCTCTCTCTCTCTCTCTCTCTCGCTATCTCGCTCTGTCTCTCACGCTTTCATCCAATTGCACTATTTGCCAGGAACTCGTGCCGTTGCCTGATCGAGAAGAAGAAGCTCACCCAGCTGACCGGACAGTGCGCCGTTCTCGTTAACCCCTACTACGTTAACAAATTCTAAAATTTTTTTGGTATTTTTTGTTAGTCTCCGCATCTCCCGTTGTTCCAAAACCGGTTTTTTTTCTGTTAATAAATTTTTTCTAAACATTCTGAACTGTGTAACTCAATGAAAGAGACTGAGCAAGAGCAAAAATGCGGGGGAGAGCGAGCCAAATGAGACAGCGGGAGATAGAGGGAGCAAGAGTGCGTGGGAGAGAGAGCGAGAGAGAGATAGGGATAGAGAGAAAGACAGACAGAGAGAGAGAGAGAGAGAGAGAGAGAGAGAGAGAGAGAGAAAGGGAGAGAGAGTGAGAGAGAACTAGAGCAAGAACGAGTGTCATCTGCTATCATCCTTCCCTTAAAATGAGTCTGTTCCCGCAATTTTTCGAGCTTGCCTTCCTATCAAGCCTAAAAGTGAGTCCAAGTTCACAATTTACCGTATCCCTCTTCTCTCTTCCATCAATCATCGAGCCAGTTATCTGGCAACTTCGGGCTAGCCTTTCGGGATCAAATACCGCAAAACGCGAGCGCGACGTGCATCTTTCAAAAACTGAAAGAGGGACCGTGTGACCTTTTCTGGAATTTTTTCGCAATGAAAGCGCAATTAGTGCATTTTCGATGAGCAGCGCGGCTCGATCGAACTTTTTTAGGCAAGTCCTGCGATTGACCAGAAGCTTTAAAGAGATTCTGAGCTGTTGCGAGTTGCTTTCGGTGGCCAACTGTTTTTCAAAATTACGTGAATGGCTATGACAGTACAAATATTTCGAAAGGGAAAACTTCAAAAGGGGAAATAACGTTGAAACTATCGCAGGCTTATAAAGTCAAAATTGCTGGCTTAATCTAACTAATTCATTTCTATAACCGGTTTTTTAAATTCTTCATAATTGAGTTCTTTGCTTCTTCAATTTTAAAATTTGCAACGGGTGCATAACGCATTCCAGAATGCCGTTAGCCGAAACTTGACAATCGAAATGCTGATCCACAGAACACGGAAATCCAAAGAGGAAAAACAAAAATTAACTACAGGATATGTAATTTCGGCTGTCCGCGTTTTCGTTTCCGGTAATCGGAAGTATGAGTTTTTGTAATTTTTCGTTCTTAATATTCTACAATGCCTCACCTCAAGTTCTTATGGTTTTTTAACAACGAGCCTTGAAAAATTCATCTTCTACTTGCTGAAATTTCACACCACTTTCCATCACCCTATGTTTGTTTGTTTATAGAATGTGAATGTGCTGGCCGAGAGGACTTTTGGGGCAAGAGTGCGAAATTGATGGAGAGGACCTAGAGAAAGACATTGGAGCCAAAGCCAGCAGCGAGCAGCTTCTCCCTTTTTGTGTAGGGCAGAGGGTGAAAAAATGGCATTAAGGCGAGGGAGAGAGAGCGAGAGAGAGAGAGAGAGAGAGCGAGAGAGAGAGAGAGAGAGAGAGAGAGAACGACATAGAGGAAAGAAGAAACTCTGGCCACAAGGATGCGCTGCCCCGCACACTCCTTTCACATCCACTCACTCCCTCATTCTCAACTTTACTGCGGTCCTGTCCATTGATCAAAGCTGACTTAATTTGCATAAAATACGATTTTTATTCTTTATTTGGTATTACAGAAAATTATATCCTTTTTAAACCAGCTTAGTGAGCTTTGAAGCAAAAATAACGTCATTATTTTACACCCGTTGCTTAACCTGTGCTGTAAAGAAAACAATTTTTTAGGAATGATTTCAGAGGGCTAAATCATGTGGTGTTTTTTACTCACCTTTTTAAAAATACATGATGCAAATTTGTGTCTCAACTCCCTGAAACTCCCTGAAAACTACCGTACTCTCTATTCTTCAGCTTGCGATGGGCAGCTTTTCTACCAACTGGAGCACAATTTTTCCTACATGACTATTTTTTCGGAGCAGCTGTTTTCCAGGCCCATACCACCTGCATGTTGGTCGTAAATTAATTTTTGTTTTCAGCCAGCCGGGGGCTGCTTTGCATGTTTTATGGCTGTTTGAGGGTGACAGAAAGCATAGGGACTGAACCTCGTCCCCGCTTTATTTTTAGCCCATTTTTTAAAGAGTCACCTTTTTGCCTGAAGAATCTCTGCTCGTCCACTTGTTGCTACCGAAGCTCATTTTTATGCAATCAGAATTCACATATAAACCAAATGCACTTGTTCGTTTCTGAAAAATAGCAAACGCCTATTTAAAAAAATTTAAAAAACTAAAAATGACATCTCGAAGCATGGGGTGCTTTTTTATGTAAGCGCGTGATTTTTAGCCCAAACGGTGGAAATCAATTTGGAAAACGGAGACGATATAATCTGTTTTATCAATTTTCCTTAAAGGGAAAAGAAAGGCGAAGGTTTATCTATAATTTATCTATTTATCTATAAACCTTCGCGACTTTTCAACCCTGGCCCCGTCCGACCCCATTTTATCCTTCACTCTGCATACTTGCGCTGAATTCAGATGGCAAAAAATGAAAAACAACCTTTCCTGTCGCTTTACATAGTCGAATCCCCACTTCCGGTCTATGCTAATTGTTCCTAGCAAAGAGGTTTTCACAAAAACTTAAATTTATTGCCGAAAATAGGTGATTTTGTTAAAGCTCACCTGCGTGCAGTCATCTCCAGGCCATTACGCACCTAATGACGTATCATACATACCTTAAATTCATCCCCTATCGAGATATCCTCCGGACGGACAGACGGAAGTGGATGCAAAGTGGCACGCACACACAGACACACACACACAGACACTATATTTTTTATATATATTAGGATGCTAATGCAAAAGAATGAGCAGAATGTGGGACAAGACAGGAGGGGAAAGAGAAGATTCATGCTAATTCCTATTTAGAAATGAAGCCCGTTTTACGCTATTTTTTCCCGGGCCTTCCTGATCCCATTAGGATCATCTGAATATCCTAAAAAGTCAAATATTGTAAAAATCATATAGTATATCAATTATCAATCAATAGAATATCGACATTTGTTTCTATCCAAAAGGATCTCTGGTATTTTTCAAACCCCGCTACACTGTTTTCGCCGGCCAGACTGCCGGAAAAACCATCGGCGTAAACCGTGATATCCGGATAGTTTGCCTAAGCAGCCTTAATTTCATTGCTCGGTTTGCTTTTTGCCATTCTACCATTTCACCGCCAGACCCCATCACATCACCACGACTCAAAACCTTCGCTGGTTCCGCTTGCCCAACCCCGGACCCGGGTCATTTGATTCTATCGCCCGGGCGCGCCTAATTTATTGCTTGGCAATGAGCGCATTTTTTGGCATCAGCAAAGTATCACGCGGGTACCTACAGCAAGTGATAGTGCGCAACCCTCCTCAAAAATTAGAGAAATCAAGAAAAAATCGCGAGCAATGGGGAACTTTTACGGCGCTTCTTCGCTCTACATGATCCTGGGGAGCTCGTTTTCAAGTCTAGGCGCTCAATCAAGCGGATAATGATAGGATCGACCCTGTGTGTTGTTCTTTCCATCTCGGCCAAATGTACGGTGGATGTTCATTTTCAGTGCTCACGAACTTTTGGAAAATTACCTCCCCCTTTAAGGCAGTAAGGCTGATTATGGATTTCTGGCCTCGATTCACCCCCATTTTCCACGCAAGCGATACCCAACGCGTTCAATGTTTGGTATAGTTGCTACGGTCGTAATCGATAAAAACATGACTTGCGCGTCTCTTTAAAGGTGAAAACTCGAAAGACCTTGCTGAAGGAAACAGTAATTTGTTCGAATAACATTAATTACTATATTATTTGTGCGACTACCCGACAAATTGACGAGCATGATCTTACAAGGAGTGCTTTTTTTGAGTCATCGGCAAAACCTTACGAGACCTAGCTCATTCGATAGAGAATTCGATTCCGAACAAAACACCGTTGTTCTTTTTTGCAGAATGGCTATCCCTGATTTTGTAAAATTAAAATGCTAGTCCCCGTCTCTTACCATGAGTGCCTTTCGAGCCAAAGAGAGGCTTTTGGATGCAGTTTTAAAATTTTATAAAATCAGGGATGGCCATTCTGCAAAAAAGAACAACGGGGTTTTGTTCAAAATCGAATTCTCTATCGAATGAGCTAGGTCTCGTAAGGTTTTGCCGATGACTCAAAAAAAGCACTCCTTGTTAGAGGCGAAAAAATGCTAGCAAAGCATCTACTTATACCTTGCTGCTCCTTTAAACACAGTATCTAAAAATAATTCGTCCCGGTTTAGGGGAACATCCGGATGAAAATCAGACCGCCTACGCAGGAACTAAAATTGCCCATGACAGAAATCATGCCCATTTTAAGCTGGTCTTATTTTTGTCTCTCTTGGCTTCCATTTCAAAATTAGTTTTCTAGCCACAGAAAATCCCCATTCCGCCGAGCCAGAGGTCCCACTCCCCGGTCTGCCCCCGGCTTTTAGCCGGATGAGCAGCAGGCAGGAACGCAAATGAGGGCAATTTCGGGGGATGTGCGGAATGTGGGCGGGCGGAGCAGGAGGAGGATGAGCTTTTTTGGCTTTAGAAGTCTTCGCGGATCCTCGAAAACTGCTCTTCCTTGTGACTCGTCTGCTTCTAAAGCAATTTTTAGCAACCTTTTTGACAAAAAGCAAGACTAATAGAGGCTTGTACTAGCGCATTAATGATTCTGCTGATCCCGAAAACTTAAGCCTCGTAATCGGAAACTCAGGCTCTTTTAAACCCGATTTTAGGGCGATTCAATTCATAGATCCACGAAATCCCTACCTTACCCTCGAAATTCGCTTCTCAAATACGGCTTCCGGTCCCGAAAAAGGTCACAAACCTAAAAACAGACCCTTGACAACTAGATTTTCGCTAGCATCACCCCGAAGAAGCCAATTTTCCCTGGATATGCGTCATTTCGCGGTGTCCGCAGGCGTCGGGTGGAAATTTGAATCGGAATGCCACGCCGCCGGAGGCTTTACTCGAGTCCGACAACTAATTACCCGGCTTCCGGTTTTTCTTGGTGTTTTTTTTGGCGTTAAAGAACATGTCACCTGTCTGTTGGTTGGTCAAGTAAGCCTCGAAAAATGTCGAGGGCACCCGGCGGAGAAATTGGATTCCACCACCCTCCCTTCCTTACATTTACACAAATTCGATTCCCACGCCCGCAAAAAGCGCATCTCGCCCTGCCGTTTCCGCTAAAATACGCTTTGCCAGAGCCCATGTATGGAACATCCCTGCCAGAATACCGAAGCTGAAAAAGCCGTCAATCGGACACAGGAACAGGAACTCCAAACTAATCGTCGTGTCGGTTTCAAACATTCGCGTGACGGGTTACTGGCACTTTTTATTTTTTTTGTCGGCATTGTCCGATGGCGGTATTTTTACTTTTTTTGTGAAAATATTGCCCTCGGCTGCGCAAAAAGCGCGTCTGCCCCACCACTTCCGCTAAAGGCGTTTTCTCAGAGCCTCTGTAACCAAAATTTTTCCCGGAATACCGACATTCAAAACGTCGACAACCTAAATTCGGCATTCGCAATTCTGACTGCCAAAATAAAGACGTAGCCTTTGTGGCTTTTTCGACCAGATACGTCGAAAAAGCCACGAACCCATGTTCCGACATTGCAAATGACTACGCATTCGAAAAAAAACTTCAAAATCTGTAAGAATTTTTACCCCCGTATGTTCCAATGTCCGCATTTTTACTGTTTTGACAATATTTTGTTCCCCCGTCGCGAAAACCGCGTCCCGCCCGCCCCAGGTCCGTTAAAAAGCATCTCCCCCCGCACGCTCCAGCCCTTTTTAAGTGGATGGGTATTTGACGACCTTCATCACGTTCTTTTTGGCTTGATGTGCAAGTTGCCAACTTTTGCCAAAATTTGTGGTTTGATCATATGTTTGAATATGATTCGATTCGAGCATTTTTCACTATATTGTGTCTCGCAAATTGGGCCAGGATACTCCGTTTTGTTGCTCTCGGCAAGCATATGAAATGTCGAGTTCTGAAATGATCTTTGAGACTGCAGTTGCATAGCTCTTTTTATAATATTGCTCTAAATGTTGTGGCCCTTCAAAAACGCTTGTTTCGCACTAAATGCAACGTTTTGTATTTGCATGGTTGTTCTTGTTCCATATTGTTTTCCCAAAAGCTGACTGACACGCCATGGGCCGAGCCACATTTCGCTTGCGTGTCTGCTTCTAGCGGAGAAGCCTAGCAATTTGCTTGGCTTTCTAGCGTTTCTCTTACTAGACGGGAAGGTCTGTAGCATTGCATAATAGTACGTTACGCTACGCGAGCAAAAATTTGATTTTCGGAATTAGGTTTTTCCTTCCCATTATTTCTTTCCCTCCCCCTCTCTCTCTCTCTCCCTCTCTCTCCGCTCTCTTTCTGTCGCTCTCTCTCTCGCCCTCCCTCGCTATCTCTGTATCGGTCTCTCTCTCTCTCTCTCTCTCTCTCGCTTTCACGTTCGTTCTCTCCCTCGCTTTTTCTCTACTTTTCTCTCTCTAACCAATTTTTTAGGAAATGGCTATCACATCCGAATACGAGCCAATCCGGGCCAAGCCTGAAGACGCCAAAGAGATTGAAGAGTTCTTAGTGGCTGATTTTCTCATCACAGAGCCCCTGAATGCAGCAGTCCGGCTGAGCCGACCTGATTGCCATCAAATTCTAGAAGGTAACTTTTTATTACTTTAATATATTGCCATTTATGCGAAAATTAGCGAGCCGCGGCGCATGGCTGCCAGGTTTGGATTTCATTTCGTGACTGCTCCCCGCTTCTCGCGTCTCCTTTTCTTTGACATTACTTTCCTATCGTTTGCCGTATACTAATTTGGTTGGTCAGAAAAACGTTATACATCATGTAGAATACAAAATATTTAAAAAGGCTGGCTGAACCAACTATTTTTAGTTTTTTTTGCAGGGATCGTTTTGTCTATCGATTTTAAGGCTAATTTAAAGGGGCGGAGCGAGCAAAGAAATCGATACCCTCTCGCCGAAAATTTAAAAATTTAACTTTAGCGCGAATTTGATATAAAGCCAAGTTTATAACTTTCTGAAGGCTCTGCAAAGCAATCGGCAACTGTCCCGCTCCCTTTAATCGAGCCAGCTCGTCTTTTGAAGATTCGAGGTGAACTTTTGCCTTCCGCTTTGCTTTGCCTGAATTTCAGTTCCTGATCAAAAATTTAGTCCTGCTTGGCTTATCTTTTGCCTTTTCCCCGCTTTTTCTGACCAGCCGAAAATATATTTTGGTCATGGTATGAAAATATGAATTTTTAGACCTCGCCAAAGATTCGGCCAACTCTGGCCATACTGCATTGTTAAGAAACGAGCAAGGGGAAATGATTGGAGTTGCGATGTGTACGGTAGGTTTTGAGAGAGAGAGAGAGAGAGAGAGAGAAAGAGAGCGAGAGAGAAAGAAGAGAGAGACAGAAAGATCAATGGAGGGAGAGGGAAGCTAAAAATACCTAAAAATTTAGATGTCAACCGTCCAAAAAATCGAGGACGCCCCGATGCCATGCAGCTCGCAAATTCCCGGCAAGATGGATTATATTGCGAATTTCTTGTGGCAGTTGGATAGAGGAGTAAGCATCTGCTTTTTTTCATACGCATCCCTTAGATAATTTATTCTTAATTGTGCCCAAATTTAATGCCATCTATATGAATTTTAGCTCAAGCCCGCCTGCCCTGAGCACTACGAAAAAGTGATGAAGTTTGAGATTTTGAGGTGTAGTAGCTACCTAATTCTTAAAAAACTCGATTTTAGCATTCATGCAAAATACACAAGGCAAGGACTTGGAGCTAAATTGATAAAATGGGTAGTGGCAGAGGCGAAGGAGATGAACGTTCCGATTGTGGTTGAAGTGACGGCGCTTGCTACGCAAAAGGTGAGAGAGACAGAGAAAATGAGACTGAGAGAGAGAGAGAAAGAGACAGAGAGAGAGAATGAGAGCGGGTTAGAGAGAGAGTGAGCGTGTGTGATAGAGAGCGAGAGAGAGAGAGAGTGAGAGAAATTGAACGAGAAAGAGCGAGAGAGAAGGAGCGAGAGAGAGGGAGCTGATGTTCACATTTTTCCAGCTCTTCCCCAAGTTCGGCTTTGAAATTGTCTTCGAAATCCTCCATTCACGCTACGTCGAAGTCATGGGAAAACGTATCTTCAACTGCTCTGATGGGACCGACAGAGGCCAATTACTACTGTGGTTACCGTAGAATAAAGCGTGTACCTTAAAAATGTATACTTGTAGAATAAATTATTTTCCATTTTATTGCTTGGCTTGCTCGCATCGGTGCTAAGCCTTCCAATAACGCTTCTTCATTGATGCTAATCCGCATGAATACCAAATAATGCTAATGTCCGGGAGGTATTCCCACGCTTCCCGGGATCTTCCTCTTTTTTTTGGTCGCCCGGGTGACACACAAACGGCGGTGAATAATAGTCGCTTTTTAGTGTGAAATACGTGCACAAAAATGCATGTTTGGCCGTGGCTTTTTCACCTGTCTGGCGGCCTTGGCAGGTTTAAGACTTGCCTTATTTTTCAGACCAACTTTTGGCTAAGAATTTTATTAAATTTTTTACAAAAGTTTTAATAGACAGAAACGGCGCTCGAAACCTGCTTCTTAAACATTTAAAAATTATAAACTGAAGTTGTAGGGAAAAAATAGACGCTGTCAGCTGCTTCATTCTGTTTATGCTTCGTTCTGACTTTTCCCTGGATTTTTTTTCCGGAGTCGCTTTGTTTTAATAAGCTGTTCATTTATTTTAGTGGTAGTTTTCTTAATTAAAACTGTCCTCATCATATAGCCACAACAAAAATGCATATTTAAACAAGGCAGACAACATTCAGGACTAATTCTACTAGCGCTTTTCCTATTCACGGCCTCTCTTTCAATCCCTCCCTCTCTCCCTCTCTCTCTCTCTCTCTCTCTCTCTCTCTCTCTCTCTCTCTCGCTGTCTCTCTCTCTATTTTTGGCACTCCTTACTGTCTCTATCTATCGCAATTTCTCTCTGCCTCTCTCTCGCTCGCTCTCGCTCGCTCTCTCTCTCTCTCACTTTAACTATTTTTTCTCATAAATCCTGAATTCAGCCCAAAATTGACAGGGATGGTACTTTAATACCGCCATAGACTATCATAGACCTCCACTCAACCGGCAATAATTCGATTTTGAGCCGATTCGGTCGAGAGCGTGGTGGGGAACCGGGTACGCGTGGGCAAACACGAGCGTTTTCGGGGATCGCCTCACTCGATGCGGGTCCACCTCCAAAAATTTTTTAGTTGCGTTAGGTACACTGCCTGTTTTTGGTAATTGAATACCGAACTTTATCGCTAACTTGAACAATTCTGGATATAGCGTTTGATTTAATTGCTATCAAATCTCAAACAGAGAAACTTCTGAAATTTTCTTAAACATTTTTTGGCAATGCTTCTCGGGTGCTGACAATCATCGGTTGTAAAAAACTAAGTTTTATTAATAAAATGGATTCAGATGTCGACGACTAACGATTTTGCAATTATCCGGGCCGAGCCGAAGGACACGGAGGAGATCCGACAATTCCTAATCAACTCCTTTGTTACAACGGAGCCAATTAGCAAGTCGATTGGTCTCCAGGCTAACGATTCCGCCGATTTTATGAAAGGTAAGTGTATTTGATCGATTCTCATTCAAATACCTTTTCATTCCCAAAATCCAAAGCCCAAAATCTCACTCGCTTGTCGACTCTCTGATGTGGTTTTAGAAACTGCTAAAGTATCAGCCGAATCGGGCCATTCCGCATTGCTACGTAATGACGCTGGCGAGATTATTGGTGTTGCGCTTCTGTCGGTTTGTAGGATCTTCAGTTGTATTTATTTTTCGTTAAGGTTCAACCTGTCGAGAAAATCTACGACGCTCCAAAGCCGCCAGACCCTAAAACTGGCGGAAAAATGCTGTTGATTGCAAATTTTTTATGGGCACTGGATCAGGGGGTAGGCTTCTAACTTCTCAGCTTTTTATCAGTTTTGTTTTAGTTGAAAAACCACCTGTCGCCTGATACAAAAGAAGTGGTCAAGTTCGAGATTATAAAGTGGGTTTCGGTTTGCTCTCTCTCTCTCATGCTCTATCCCTCTGGCCCTCTCTCCCCTCTCTCTCTCTCTCGCTCTCTCTCTCTCTCTCTCTTTCTCTGTCTCTCTCTGGCTCTCGCTCTCTAGCGACAATATGCAAATTTCAGCCTCAATCCAAACTACACACGACGAGGACTTGCTCAAAAATTAATGGATTGGTCAATGGAAGAGGTGAAAAAGCTCAATCTACCTATTTATACACAAGTGACCGCTATCGCCTCACAACGGGTAATTTTTTAAAGCACCTAACCACTAAAGATATAAGTTCTTCATTTTTTGAACACAAATCCATTTTTAGCTTTTCGCCAAGTACGGCTTCCAAGTGAACTACGAGATTTTGCACAAGGATTGGTTGGATGAGGATGGTAACCAGATTTTCCGATGTGATGACGGCACGGATCGAGGGCAACTGATTTCTAGGATGCCATAAATATTTTGAATTTTCCAGAATTTTAATACAGTAAACAGAAATTGCAGCGTTAACAATATAACACTTGGAGCATGACTTTTAACAAACGATTTTTACGCATCTGCGGGCCGGAGCTCTCCAATCATCACTTAGACAGCTCAAAAAAAGCACCAATAACGAATCGTATTATTGAAAACTTTTCTGAGTAAATTTTTGTCATATAAATAAATCTACTCGAGAGAAAGAGAGAGATAGAGAGGAGGGAGGGCGAGCGAGAGACAACAAAATAAAAGGCAAACTTCACTCTCCCTCAATCAAATGAGCATGGCGAGTATGGAATTGTTTTTCTTTGGTCTCCGGACTTCCGCGGTTTCGAATTTCCACAGGTGTTCAATTTCCGTAATCGCATGTGGAACGCCAAAAATTCCCGAGAGTGTTTCCGTGCTCCTTCAGCTCTAGCGATCTCCAAAAACCAACTCTTTGAAAGGCGCTGCATTTTAACGCACCACGCACTAATTGTGTCACCAGACCGAAGGGGGTTCAGGGGTCAGAATATGCAAAGCAAGGGGTTAGTCACGTCTCCGGAAAGATGTTTTTGAGAATGGCTTTTGGAGTTGCACATTTTTTTGATCGGATCCCTTTCCATCTCTCTCTCTCTCTCTCTCTCTCTCTCTCTCTCTCTCTCTCTCTCTCTCTCTCTCTCTCTCTCTCTCTCTCTCTCTCTCTCTCTCTCCCTCTCTTTCTCTCTCGCTCTCGCCCTCGATCTCTCTCTCTCGCTCTCTCTCTCGCTCTCTCTCTCTCTCTCTCTCTCTCTCTCGCTCTCTCTCTCTCTCGCTCTCTCTCTCTGTCTGGTTTCCGGAAACTTGTGTACCTTCCTTATTTGCACGTCCTCCCTTTTCTACTTCCATTTTCCTCTACTTTTCATTGCTATTTGATCCATCGTATTTTTACGAAAATCTGGTTGTACAAAAGGCAACAATCCTCCCTAATCCTGGGCCGCAAAATTAATCAACCCCGAGGTGCTCTGGTGCTAATGCTCAGGGCCCCATGGCATACTGCCAAACGATGCAACCCGGCCATAGGCCAGCTCCGGAAGAATTAATTTTCGACACCCGCTCGCCTACGCGATTTGGTTCTTAGCCAAGGTGTTTTTGGGGTTTCAGTGTTGCTGTCGCTGTATTACATGGAAATTCACTGGAATTCAAGATTTCCTTGATATCACTGCCCTTAATTGCTTTTGATGCCGCCTACGCTTGCTGGCCCATTTAATTTACGTCACGTAACTAGGTCTGCAGGAATCTGATTTTCCAGCCGTGCAGATGCAATTAAACCGGCGTAAACAATTAAAAACTGGGTTAGATTTGAATCTGGGCATGGTCTGACTTAAACTCGGCTTAGTCTTAGCTTAAGCTTAGCTTAGGCTTAGCTTAGGCTTAGCTTAAGCTTAGCTTAGGCTTAGCTTAGGCTTAGCTTAGGATTAGCTTAGGCTTACAAGGAGTCGCTTTTAGGTGCTTTTGGAGTTTCGGGACGGGACCTAGCTAGTTCGATAGAGAAAAAAAAGTTCTGAGCAACATCCCGTTTTCAAAAAGTGCTGATCGATAAAGCTGTTTTAGAAAATTTAATTTAACTAAAAATGTTCCCGGTGTCCGGACCCATGTGGTGATCTAAGGTGATTTGCGGCGATCGATCGCCCCTGCCACATGAGGACTTCACACGCCTTGGATCTCGTCCTAGGCATGGCCAAGTGGCTAGTGCGTTCGCCTACGAAGTTTTTTTGACCTTTTGCCACAAGTTCGGTTCTTATTTACCGTTACCTCTTTGCTTTTTTGCTAATTAAAATTTTATGCACCGTTAACGGGTTCAGGAACCAAAAAGCAAAGGGTTAGCCAGCGCGAAGATTCGAACCCGAGGCAAAAAAAAAATGTTAAAAAGTTGGTAGGCAAGCGCGCTACCAATACGCTAATGCAACCTGTGATGGAGGCATTGGCGGAGGGTTACGAATGGCGCCCTGCCTAGCCCCGAAAACGACGTGAACCGAGGAAATGGACCCGAAAACTAGAAAAAAGCGCGAACTTTAAATTAACTTTTCTAAAACACCTTTATCGATCAGCACTTTTTGAACACGGGATGTTGCTCAGAATTTTTTTCTCTATCGAACTAGCTAGGTGCCGTCCCGAAACTCCAAAAGCACCTAAAAGCGACTCCTTGTTAGCTTAGGCTTAGCTTAGGCTTAGCTTAGGTTGAGCTTCTGCTCAGCCTAGGATGAATTAGGCTTGGCTCCGAAGTTATACATCGAACTTACTTTTCGATTCTCATGGGGAACCATTAGAGGGGGGGTTTCTTGAGAAAGCGGGGGTTTTTGTGCCTTGGCTTCTCACACAGGGGAGGAGGAGGGCGGCATCGATGAATTATTCCGTATCCTGGAAATACGCCTGGGGCTTTGGATAATCAAGCATTAGGGGGCTTCCTCAAACGCCCACCTCCTAGATTCTAGCTTGACTCTTTGACCCTCCGCGATTCAAGGAAATTGGGTTTTTTCAAAGCTCGGCGCTTCCGGTTAGCGCTACAGTTACGATCTCTGGCTTGAATCTAGGGACTTACAATTAACTAACAAAGCCTTGAAGGACACCACAGTCCAATTGACGTCGATTTTCTATCTAGAAGATTTAATGTATCGGATTCGACGTGATGAAGCTCATCCTACTATATATAAAAAAATAGTTCATGTGTGTGTGTGGACACTTTGCATAAATGGCTCGAAAAAACCGGGTTACCAAGATATCGGGAAGGGGGAAGAATTTTAGGGCCCAGTCGAAAGGTATTTATGGGTAGTCGAGGGCGTAGATTACTGCAAGCTTATCAGATTTCTAAAAAAATGGCGATTTAACGTTATTTTAGCGATTTAAAAACATATGGAAATATCCTCATTTGCATACGAGGTGCCAGGAGGCTCATTTCGAATTTTGTCGCGCTAGCGGCCGGTTGCTTTTGCAGTTTTTGGGTTCGCTCACACTCTTCGCCCGAATTATGTAAAGTGCCCAACTTTGAGAGTTCCGTGCGCGAAGGCCAGGGGTGAAAAGCCGCGTAGCGGCTTTTCAACCCTGGTTTGGTATTATAACTCAAAAAACTTTTAAATCCGCTTACATCTCAATTTGCATACCTTATAATATACATGGGCGGTCACCCCGGAGGGTCACCCTGGGGGTGACCGCCGCTCACCCCCAGGGGGTGACTGCAATGGCACCCTGGGGTGACCCTCCGGGGTGACAATCCGGTCACCCTATAGATGCAAAGTGCTGCATTCAAATAAATTTCTATGGCAAGATGCCTCTGTTTGGCCGCAAATATCATAAATTTTTCATTTTAATCGATTATAAAATAGCCTTCAATTGGCAGTGGGAAAGTATATAAGTTAAATTGGAAAATTTAGCCTTCTCAACGCTGCCTAGAGCCAATTCTTGGCCGTTGGTCATTTCCATCTAAGTCATTTGCGTGGATAGGGTGCACCGGTTCCGCACCCTCACCCCCACGAAAAATGGAGGGGGTGACACCCCATCGTGCCATTCAGTCACCCCCAGGGGGTGAGCGGCGGTCACCCCCGGGGTGACCCTCTGGGGTGACCGCCCATGTATACCTTATAATAGAGTATTACTAGTTTCCCCTTGGGAAGGCTTTTTGATGGGGTAAATTTGAGTTAATATTTTTCAGTTTTTTAAATAAATTTAATTTAAGTAAATTATCTGAAATTTGAGTGATTCTGCCCTGAACATTTCTCATATTTCCAATGTAAATTTCTGTTCACCGTGGGATCGTAAAACATCAGGAAACTTTTCCAGGAATTTCGGACGTTGTCCTTTGACTCCAAACTGCGTAGACTCCCTGAATTACTACAAATTGGTGCGTGAATCTGCGTAATGAGGTGAACAGGGTAGACCCGAGTCAATTTTGGATAACTTTCCGATTTACACCGCATTATCTTTGCGCTTCAATCAATTTTGTGAGTATCAATAGTAATCTATCTACTATAATAATTTTCTTGAGGTGTCTGTCTGTCTGTCCGTCATGTCCCAGATTCAACTCGAAGGGGAAAGGAGCTAGAGCTTAGCTCACTTCGGATTCGGATAGAGCGTGGTCAGAAACTCCCAAACTGATCAAAAAATTATAAAAAAAGTTTTAATTTAAATTATTAAAATTAAATTTGAAAGTTTTTTCCTTAGTAAACGCAGGGGTGACGGAGGTTTGCCCGATTTCGGACATAGTGAGCCAGGTCGCACGCGTCTCGGCCAGGGGGAGGGCGCGCAGAGGGTAGCCCGAAGTCCAGCCGCTTGCAGCGGCGAAGCTTTTTCGTCAATCGTCAAATCCTGATTTTTAGCAATTTTGCTTTGCACATACCTTTAAAACGGGCTCCATGATATGCATGTTCTATTAATGCGATTTAATCATTTTGGAATTTTTCTGAATCTTATTTATGTTTATGTTTTTTAGCCTACAAAAACCTAGCTGATGGACCTACCCTTCAACGAACTCCGAGCCACCGTATTCGTGGCTGGTCATCACGTTTTTGATTTTCTATCAGTTTTATTGAACTCTACGCTACTATACCTAATCATATTCCATACCTCGAAGTCGTTCAGGAGCTACTCCGTGATATTGGGATGGTAAGGACCTTGAGCCTGAAACCTAGTACAAAGCAGCCTCATTTTTAATTTAAAGAAACCTACAATAATTTATTATAGTGGTTGTTGAATTGAAAACCTAAACGCATTTATGATTTTCAGCCTCGCTGTATCGGAAGGAGTACTCGGCTTTACGGCGTGGTTTTCCATGGCCAGGTACGTTTGGCAGCTTAAAAATCAGATTTTTCTTAGCAGCTCTCTATAGTTTCAGAAACAAAACCTACTTAAATTTAGTGCATATTTTATGTAATTTGTAATAGTTAATTTTATTTTCTTAAAAACAGTACTTCAGATGCGTCCCAGTCGGCCACACCCTAATCTATCAATTTCACGGGATCTGCCGAAAAGTGTCGCCGCAGTTTTGTTTGGATAGTAAGTTATATAGCTTACCGTCTATATAATACCAGATGGTTACAGTCGCTTCGCGACTGCAACCATCTGGCGTTCGGGCTACCCTACATGTCCCACTCCACCACAGCCTTTCCCACCTCCATCAATACCCCCCATGGCTGAAATCCCCGTCAAAAACTACCAAAATACCTTCCTGATGGCTTCAGATACTCCCCATGGCTGAAATCCCCTTCATAAACTACCTAAATACCTTCCCGATGGCTTTAGAGCTTTAAATAATTTAAATAATGAATTAACTAATTAAAAAGTATTAAAAGTATTAAAGTAACTTAAAAAGTTATTTGGACGCGGGAAAGGGCCTGGGGAAGAGGGGCGAAGGAAAAGGGGGCGTGGCCTCCCGGGGAGAGGGCCCCCACTCGTTTTATTAAGGCGCCACTTTCAAAGTTAATTTTAATAATTTAAACTAAAAGTTTTTCGTAATTTTTTTATCAGTTTGGGGGTTTCTGACCACGCTCTATCCGAATCCGAAGAGAGCTAAGCTCTAGCTCCTTTCCCCTTCGAGTTGAATTCGGCTTCACACAGACACACAGACAGACAGACGGACGTCTCTACTTTTTTATTATAGTTGATCCTTTTAATAATTGTATGTATGTTTTTATATAATTAGCAGGATTTACTTTTACAACGGTTTCTGATGTTTTTTAGTTCACGCCATCGTTGCGCACTGCTCTGCGTATAACTACTTTATTATGCCGGTCTCATTTTGGTGGGTTCAAAGCTTCATTTAGTTTTATTCAATTATTCGCTTACATCGTTTCTTTTATGTACCGTCACCACATCCTATACCACGGCCCTCCAAAACCTTCAAAAGTTGCTCGAATACTATTTTTCTTGTATATTCCATCGTTTTTGGCTATGGTAAATAGCATCTCAAAAAAAATGATAGTTTTAGATTTTCTTATCTGTTTCTACGAGCGATTCGAACCTGATCCGGAACATTTTGCGAACGCAGAAGCCGAGTTCAGCTTATCCTGATGATCCAAACATTGTGGCCGTCGCTGGATTTGAGAAATTTTATCAGAAATTGTGAGTTTTTTTTGCTTTTTTTTGCGGCTGATAAGGCAATGATAGTACATTCCTGAATAGTCTCTGCTAGTTGACTGACTCATGGTGCTTTACTTTTCGTTGAAAATTCGAAAAGAAGTTTTTTTCTAAATCCGGATACATTGATTTTGCATTACGGTTTTGATGGGCAAATCCCAAATGTTCTTTGCTAGCTTGAGATTTAGATCAGATTTTACAACTTCCGTCAAAATACTACAAACCCTTATACCTTTGATTTTAGGACACTTGGAATGCTGATTAACCTCTGCCTTCCGATCTTCCCGGGCTACTGCTCGGCAATTTACTGTCGTAATCGAATCCTGAAAAAGTTGAATGATAACACACGGATGAGCAGTTCCACGATACGCGTGCAAAGGAATTTGATAAAGGTAGATTCTTGTAGTTTATTATTTTTGAAATATTATAGCCAAGAATTAAATAAACATAAAATAATATGCAAATTCCAGGCACTCACTATTCAAGCAATACTACCAATTTTACACATGTCTCAATGCAGCGTGTACGTGTGGAAACAGTTGGAATTACCGTAGGTTTTTGATACTTTGCCAAATGCCTGTACCATATTTCTGAAAAAAAAACTATAAAAGCGGGGTAATTTCGAGGCTTTTGCTGTCCTAATGCCTTTAAAACAGTAGTAAATTTTCGAAAATGTTATATTGAAGATGTTTAATTTTCTACGCTTTCTTAACTGAAAATTTTTTTAAGATTTTCCGATCGTATGCCCTATTTTGAGGAGATGTTTGTTTTGCAATCAGCGGTAAGTATTTAAAAGCTCCTAAAAATTTACGGCTTATTTATGCTAATTTGATTAAAATCTCCTTTCAGTTGAGCGCAATTACTCCTTGTATAACGATGTATTACGTTCGGCCGTATCGGCGGAAAATCAAGGAATTCCTGGGTCTCCGAAAACCGAAGCGGTCGATGAATATTCACATGGATACTTCAAATATTGATAAGATTTCGACGAAGAATACGGATGAGATTGTTTAATGAAAATCTATTAAATAACTTTCATAAATTATGCAAATAATAAAAACAGCGTTGAAGGACCACAAAATCACAATAAATTTTTGGTAATACTAGGAAATAACGGTTCTATACCGGTAACGGGGATTTTGTACGAAACTTTGCTGCTCCTCCACACCCACACCAAAAACTAATTCAACGCCCCACGTTCGTCCTTTGATCTAGCCACCTCCATGGCATACACCGAATAAATTAGGCAAATAGAGCTTAATAGATCTCTTTTTTAACGCATGTTGACTTGCTCCGCTTGGATTCTTGGTTTCTTGGTGTGTGGTTTGTTCCTTAAAAAATATGTTCTATCCGTAAAAAGGCAGGTCACTTTCTGAGCCATTTTTGCCTATAATTATGGACCTTCAAGTGAAGCATTCGATGATTTAGATAAGCTAGGCTACGTTAAGCTACGTTGCGCTACTTACGCAGAGATCATGCCGCAAGATCAGAAAAACAAGCTAGCTAAAATGTTCATAGATGCCGCATTTCGTAAGTAAATCAACTATAAGAATTCAGTAGTGGTGTCTGTCCGTCTGTCCGAAGCCAACTATAACTCGAAGGGGAAAGGAGGTAGAGCTTAGGTCTCTTCGGATTTGGATAGAGCGTAGTCAGAAACCCCTTAAATGAGCATAAAATTATGAAAAAGTTTTTGTTTAAATAAAAATAATTAACTTTGAAAGTGGCGCCTTAATAAAACGAGTGGGGGCCCTCTCCCCGGGAGGCCACGCCCCCTTTCTCTTCGCCCCTCTTCCCCAAGGCCCTTCCCGCGCCCAGATCGCTTTTTTCAGTTGTTTTAATACTTTTTAATTATCTTAATTCATTATTTAAATCCTTTAAAGTATCTAAGGCCATCACAAAGGGAGCGGAAGGGGTAGCCCGAAGTCCAGCCGCTTGCAGCGGCAAAGCCGCTGTAAGCGGCTGGTAGACGAAGAATGTCGTTAAACTTTTTTGAGTTCATCTATATTTTCTATTTTTTTTATTCTTTGGAATTCATTTCTTTATTCAGCTTCATTTTCAAAGTTTTTGAAAGGTTCCACAAAGGTTCCACGGCTCCCATTAATGCGCTGATCGACGATTGGGCATGAAAATTCCAGCCTCTCATTAATGCGCATCAGAATACCCTGGAGGCATTCTGATCGCCGACCGGCCCCACTTTCCTTTTTCATCTATTCTCACCCCCAACTAGCGCCCGCTCGTTTGAAAATGCTTTCGGCTCGTAAACGTTTGGCCGACTACATTCGCGGCTCGATCCCCCGCCGATTCCCCCACCTGCTCCGCAAAATCAGCTGCATGGCCACGAAAATCGGCGACGCCGTCCCGAAATGCTCTTCGTATGATGTGCAGAAGGTAATTTTTGGTCTGGGGAGTGTTTAGAACGTTATAATAGGTTTAAATTGACCATTTATACTAGAATAATCGAAAACGTTTGCCAGGAACGCTTGAAAATACGTGTTTCTGCTGAAATAAGCCTTTTTCGGTACGAAAATAGTAGCTTATTGTACTAAAAGGGTATTTTGAGGCCTAGTAGTTTTTAGAAAGCTTTAATAACCTTAAATCGACTTTTTATACTTGGGAAATCGTAAAATTTTGTCAATTAGGCCATATGTAAAATGAAATGCCGGGTTTTACTGTCTAAGAATTGTCTAATCCACTTTTTCCGTATAAAATTTTCCGAACATGGTCTTTAGACGGTTTTTATAGCTTTCGAATGACGTTTTGTAGTGGAGAAAAACGCAATTTGTTCAGTAAGACGTAAAAATAATCATTTTGGCGAATATTAGGCTTTTGACTACTCTAAAACGAATAAATTTTCAGTAATTAGAGTATTCCCGACTATTTATTAATTTAAACAAATCATTTTGCTTTAGGAAGACAAGGAAATCGACAATGTATGCGCAACGAAAGTCCAACAAGCTGGGGAATGCTGCGACACCGGTTACAACACTAATTCGGAGGTAGTCTTATATTTTTCTCTTTAACACTATATTCCTTTGCAGGCAAAGGAGAACGCTTGCTGCTCGGAGCGCGAGATCGAGGCTGAGCTGAAGGCTCTAGGTTTGAAGGACGACGAGAAAGCCGAGAAAAGCCTAGACGAGAACAAGTTCGTCTTTCACTATGACCCGAAGGCTGCTTTTAACGCGGCAGAGGTTCGGATTTCTTGATAAACTTTATTTTCTAATTTTCTTAGGAAAACAAAGAAAACGAGGAAGAGTCGGACGCGGATGAGGAGGAAGAGGAGAGCGCTTGCACCGTGCAGCCAGTCTGCCCACTTCCGGAATTGATTAAGGTGGGGTTTCATTGGTTTTTAAAAATTATTTTTTTAGGTGGTAACTGGCGAGGAGGACGAGGAGGTGTTGTTTCAAGAGCGCTGCAAGTTGTACCGTTTCGACCGGGAGTCGCGTGAGGTGCAGGAGCGCGGGCTTGGCGAGATGAAGGTGAAGAATTAATTGAAAAAATCGTTTAGTAATTGAGGAAAACGTATAATGCAAACGTTCGTGCTTTTAAACAAATTTGGAAAGTTCGGGCATTCATAAAAAGTCCAAGAATCCGTTTTCTTAGTTAAATCCGCATGTTAAAGAAGTAAAAAGTGCAAAATGCGACGGATATTCTTTATTAATTGTTTTATAAGTTTAGCGAATGTTGTTATACCTTAAAATAATGAGTGCAAAGCTTATTACGTGGGTATATTCCCAGATTGCCTTGAAATTTACAAATTTGCGAGCTATCGGGTCTCCAAATACTATTACTTAACGTACCTTTATATTTTATCTTTTTAGGTTCTGAAAAACCCGAAAAGCGGCCGAATGCGCTGCGTCATGCGCCGCGAGCAGATCCTGAACTTGTGCGCCAATTTCCCGATTGTCGCCCAGATGGAGATCAAGCCCAAGGCCGGCACCGACGAGACGGCCCTCTTCTTTTGTCAGGTACAACTTTTTTAGTATATTTTCTACGTTCTTCGTTTTAGGACTTTTCGGAGTGCGATGACGGCGAGGGCCAAACGTTCTACACTCGTTTCCGCACCGGCTCAACACGCGAGCGCTTCATCAATCTTTTCCGCGAGGGCGTCGCCGCCTTTCAGTGATTGTGTGAATATTAATATTTCTGAATTGATCTCGCTTTTTTGTTGATTGAATTTGAATATTACACTTTGCCATTTGCCATTATACGTTGTTCGGGTTGCAATAAAGCCTTGTGAGTTTGGAAAAAGCTTTTCTCTCGCGTAGAACGCACTTTTATGGCTTGTTAGCTATGCAGACCTAAATGCGGAATTCGTCGAATTGACTAGCTTTTCACAGGCAAATCGACCACGGATTGAGGTCGAGTTTCGTGCAAAAGTTTCGTAAGAATTGTTGAAAAATTATTTTATACTAGTCTCCTAAACCCTTTTATCACGATATACTACGTTTTACCTTATCGCCGAAGAGTATCGAAACTCTACTGCTTCTTGCGGAAGAGCAAGGAGTTCGCCGAGCGAATCTACAGTGAGACCAAAAATTCGCAGCTTATTGTTAGGGATTCGAAGTTCCCCGCTATCAAGGATCTGTTGTAAGGACAATAAATCCCGTCTACATGGTTGAGATGGCAGTTTTCAAAGCACTTTTTGTTAAAGGGATACCGACGGCATAGTCAATAGGTTACGCGCGGAAAAGAAAATGTCTCTGCGCCTCCCCCTGGGCGCGCTCTCTCCACTGTTGGCTACTTGCCAATTTGTTGATGAGGGGGGATCGACACATGCCGTCGGCAGCCCTTTAAATTGCTTCTACAAGGTAAAATCAAATAGCTAACAATCCAATAAGTACTCCTTGCATTCTTGTATGCATTTTTAATCTCACCTGCCAAAGCTTTTCGAATTACTTTTCGGGATGGATATTGGCTTTGATGTTTCCGCTTAATCATCTTTGGCGGAGCGACGAGAATTGATTTACATCGCCTAGTCGATTTATAAGCCAGAATCTGGGTTCTTGCTTGAATAACTTTGTCTAGCGTTACCGGACCTAGGAAATATAGTAATTCGTAATTCCTAGAAAATCGAGGTTTTACTATTTCAAGGGGAATTTATTTTAATCGAACAGCATACAGGGTGTCCCAAAAAAAAACCCCGCCTCGGCATTTGGCCGTCTTCCATCCAATCGGGACCAAATTTTTACCAGTGATGGGGACCCATAAAAACTATGTGCAGCCGAATTTTCTAAGCAAAATATTGTAAAACAAAGAAGATATATCAAAATTAAGGTTAATTTTGCCGCTTTTACTAGGATTTTGACGGATTTCGGCCTTGAAATGTTTAGCAAAAATGAAGAGGGCGCTTTTTTCTACCTGTAGAAATTTTTTGATTTACGAAAATTACGTGTAAATAGGGCCTTTCGATCACTTTTTATTATCGAAATTGCCAGAAACTGACCGAGAAATGACCATTTTTTGGAAAATTACTCAAAATCCGCATGCTAATTGCGAAAACATAGCCAAAAACGAGTACCAGCGTTTTCCAAAAATCAGTTTTTTAGCGATAACTTTTTGGTTTTACAATATTTTGTTTAGAAAGTTTGGCTGCACATAGTTTTTATGGGTCCCCATCTCTGGTAAAAATTTGGCCCCGATCCGATAGAAGACGGCCAAATGCCGAGGGGGGGTTTTTTTTTGGGACACCCTGTAGATCTCTGGATAATTTTGGTTTTTTTTTAATTTCGAGGTCCTCAATGAGCCCAAAAATTGGCAAAACATTATAGTGCGCATTGATACAAATCCCATCGAAGAGATTTTTAATTTTTGCGATAATTTCCGAATTCCCAACTGGGCACTAATTAACATCCATCGTGGCTAATCTTCGATTTTCAAGGCGTTCTGTTTCTTCGAATCCTGATCCAAGTACTTGGATATTCTTTCTATTCTCTAGATGCTCGACACTTGCCTATGGGAGCTTCGAAATATATTTTTCATTGGCGCCCATCATGTTCTTGATATTTCCGCAGTGATTCTCAACACGGTTTTGCTATATTTAATTTTTTTTCATACTTCCAAGTCGTTCCGGAGCTACTCGATCATTTTAGGAGTGTAAGAAACTCGAAGCATACTAATAGCCTTCAAACAGTGTTTAAAAAATTGAGAAACTATACTTTAAAGACAGATAGCTTGATATAAACTTTGAAAATGACCACTTTGCGAAACGAAGAAATGCAATCGAACGTGGTAAACAAGACCAATAGTTAAACATTTTAATAAAATAGATACGTTGCGATAAAAACTTGAAATTTGTATTTTTTTAGTATTGCCTTTGCCGATGCTTGGACCGGACTCTCCGGATGGCTGTCGATGACTAGGTAATTTATGAAACTCAATAAGTTTTATAACGAATTCAGAACCCATCCAATGGGCCGATCATTAATTTATGAATTCTCTGGAGTATGTCAAAGGATATCGGCTCAATTTTGTCTAGACAGTAACTGGAATTTCGAGCACTTTGAACCAAATTTTAGTGCACTCCGTCCTCTGCCATTTTTCCGCTTATAACCACTGCGTGATGCCACTCTCTTTTTGGTAATTTTCAAAACTTAAAAAGGTTTAAATACCGTAAAAAACGAAACGGCTAAAGCTTGAACTTTTTGAGGTATCGTCACTATATTCTAACGCACACGCCACCAAAGCCAAAACGGATCGCTTTATTACTGCCAGTTCTTTACCTGGGTTGAAAAACCGCTTCGCGGCTTTTCAACCCTGGCCCCGTCCAGGACCTGTGAAAATCCTTAATTTGCATGTTGCTTCCTGAATTCTAGCAAGAAAAAAGTGAAAAACGGCTTCTCTGTCCCTTTATATAGGCTCTTCCTACTTCCGGCGTATGCTAATTTCCCCTAACAAACAGGGTTTTACAAAAACCTATTTTTAATAGCGTAAACCACAATTTTTCAAAATTTATGTGTGTGCAGTCGATTCCGGACCATTCTAAACCTATTGTCGTTTCTTCCCTATCCAAAAAACCCTTCCCCGAGGCTGTAGGAGCGGAACATCCTAACGGAAATGCATGCAAATATACACACACAAACACTATTTTTTTTATATATAGTAGGATGTACCTTCTTTGGTTGCTATGGTACTTTTAATTCAAATTTTGAGTTTTCAATTATTAAAAGTATTAAAGATAAACATTATTTAGGTAGCTTTTGACGTCTCAACATCCAATTCTACAGTAATTTACCACATTCTTGAAGCTCATAATTTTATTACAAGTGGAACGACAGTTTTTGCGGGCTATGAAAAGTACTATCAGAAATAGCGAGTTTAAACGGAAAGCGTCACAGCAAGATTTTAGCGCTCTCGTGACCCTAACTGTTCTCTGTCTCCCCGTATTCCCGGGTTACTGTATGGCCCTGTACTACCGTAGCCAAATTTTGCGAAAGCTGGATGCAAACAGCAAGATGAGTGCTGGGACGCGGAGGGCGCAGAAGGATTTGGTGAAGGTGTGAAAACCATGAAGCAAATCTTTACCACAAATCAGTTATTAATATTGTATAACATTTAAAGCGGCTCTGGCAGCACACCGATTACGGCATTTTGGGGACCGGGCAGAGACGCAGAGTTCTGTTTGCGTCTCTCCTCTGGGCGCGCTCTTTCTCTCCCTGCCGCGACGCACCCGACCGCGACGCTTCCACGAGTCGTGGAAAAATGGGCTTGCTGCCAGAGCCGCTTTAAAGCGCACGTTCAGGGACATATATTTATATTGAACGTATATTGCCTATTGACGCCGAGAGACTGGGAAAAGAAGGGGACGCAGGTGTCAATAGGCAATATACGTTCAACGTGCCTGAACGTGCACTTTAAGCTAGAAATCTACCCATTCTCGTACCTATTTTTTTATCAATTAAGAATATTTCTTAAGGATATTAAGGATATTTCATATTTCTAGGCATTAACAATTCAAGCAATGCTGCCATTTGGAATGCTCTACGGCTCTTCGTGTTTTATGTGGAGACAAATGGAGCTACCGTATTTATTATTTGCCTTTTTTAACGAATTTTTTGTTTTCTGAGTGTTTTTCATCCTTAGATACCTTCTGTACTTTACTATGTCGTAGGATACCTTGGAAAAGGCATGCTATACCGCTCGTCTTCCAAAAAACAATTTTCAATGGATGAGATTTTTCGATAGACCGATCAGACAAGTATAAGCCCTTGTTTCAGCTACTCCAACTACGTGCCCTTCTTCGAGGAGCTGGTCATCACCATGTCGATCGTCACCTCAGCTTCCCCCTGTGTTACATTATACTATGTACGTCCGTATCGGCATCGCCTCCAAAAAATGCTACGCTGCAAGAGCCGCGCCGAGAAGTTCCAAGTCAACACCGAGGCGTCGGCCCACGTCACCGAGACGGGTGCCGGCTCACAAAATACACGAAATGTCGACGAACTTGTATGATTGTGACTGTCTTGAGCCTTGAACTTTAATAAATACCACCGAATTATGCTCCATAAATAAGCTTGAATTGAGTTCTTGGAAAAAAAGTTCAGCAAGTGCAGAATAGGACCTAAAACGCACCCTAGAAAACAATCACCTTTCCAGGTGCCAATTGGATTGCAGGGTTTGCGCCGTAGTTAATTCCTGGTCCCTAGCGATTTTCGAGACAAGAAAATAGTCGTAAAAGGCCGGAAATTAATTTTGTATTGTTGCAAGGTGGCCTGGAAGCTGTTTTTCTCTCGAAAAAAAAATTATAATTTCGTCCGGGTCTTGAAAAAAGCGGTTTTTCAATTTTCTCGTTCGCTGAAAAATAGTTTTTCGATTGCGTGGGGTTTCACAATCCTTACAGCTTTTCGACAACCATCCAAAAACACCAAAATTACAACCCTCACCCTGAAATTTGCCAAAAAGTGGCAACATTTTCCCATGTAAATCAGCACCAAGTGCGCGCTGATTATTAAAACACAACCCACCCCAATAGTCTCTTCGTTTTCTTCTTACCGCCCCCAACAGTTCTCACGCATATTGTCCCGCGTAGTCGTCCTTTCAAGCTACTGCTCGTGTTTGGGCACATTTGCGTGTACCCAGACACTTTTCGATTTGAGCTATTCTTTTTTTCGCTAAATTTCGAGTTATTTAACTCTCTCTCTCTCTCTCTCTCTCTCTCTCTCCGGTAGGAGTTCAGTTTACCCCCCCAGCGGCACCTAACTTTTGTATCTCGGCTCCTTGTTTATCTACGGGTGTGAAAAGTATACCAAAATATTCGCCTTGCTCTTGCGAGTATTTTGGTATGTTTTACACACCTGTAGATGAACAGGGAGCCGAGATACGGTAGGTGGGGATCGGCTGGGTGGGGGGGGGGGTAACTGAACCACAGCCCTCGCGCTCTCTCTCTCTCTCTCTCTCTCTCTCTCTCTCTCTCTCTCTCTCTTTCTCTGCTTCTCGCTCTCTCTCCTTCTCGCTCTCTCTCCCTCTCTCTCTTCTTCTCGCTCTCTCTCCCTCGATCTCGCTCTCTCGCTCTTTCTCTCTCTCAACTTTCTTCACAGCCAGCATGGATCTACCCTTCACCCCATTCCGCGCCGTACTAATGACGAATCTGCACTCGGTGATGGATATATCATCCGGGTTATTTAATGGAACGCTACTGTACCTAATTATATTCTGCACTACGAAGTCGTTTCGCAGCTACTCGATCATTTTGGGATGGTAAGAAACGGGTGGTAGAATGATAATAGTGAGCTTTACAGTACGACCCTCACCGAGTTTGTTCTGGGGTTGTCGGCTGGGTTCACGATGACGAGGTAAAACCACAAAGAAGTGGGTTTAAGCTTATTTATGCAATTTAAGGACGATACCAGTCGAATATACGCTCGTCTACCAATTCCACGGTTTATGCCGGAAGTTGTCAGCCCAGATTTGCATGGATGGTGAGTTCAGGGGCTTGGGAGCGCAGAATTTGCCACTCTAGTCGGCTGGGTTTAGCATGATATCCGCGCAAAAATAAGCGCAAAGCTATGCTCGAAATATTCTTTAAAGCGATGATGACAGCTGATTTTCCATCAATTCAGATCCGCTACGTCATTTTAGCACACGCAGTCATCGTCCACTGCTTCGCCTACAACTACACGCTGCTGCCGTTGTCATTTTGGTATGTTTCGTAGCTTGAAAAGTCTGCATCCATCTCTCGCTCCCTCCCCTTCTCTCCTTCTCTCGCTCTCTCTCCCTCTCTCTCGCTCGCTTAATCGCTAAAGTTTCACATTTTGAGGTACCGACACCGCGTCTTAACAAATGGATTATGCAGCCCACTCCGTGTTATGTTGTATTGTTTCATTCTGTATATTCCTGCGTTTATGGTTATGGTAAACATTGGCAGATTAAAGGCATATACAGCCATTGATTAGGTGTGTTTCGCCGCCGGAACTAGTCCGCCAGAAATTATCCACGATATCCTGGCCACCAAGAAAAACGGGTCTCTCTATCCGGACGATCCGAGTATCGCGGCGCTGATTGGATACGAGGACATGACGACTTATTAGTCGGTTTTTGCGAGTATAATACGCATTAATAGCATGCTCAATACCTATATGAGGCTAAAAAAACTGAATTGCCAAGTTTAACATGATTTTTTGGTCGTCTAATTTCTAACTCATTTTTTTTGTCTCCAAATCAAAAAATATCCCTATTTTAGCAACATTGCCATCACCATGTGGATCTGTGCTCCAATTATGCCGGGATATACGATTTCGATTTACTATCGCTTCCAAATTCTGCGAAAACTCAAAATGGGCAGTGGGATGAGCGCAAAAACGCTAAAGGCACAGGAGAATTTGGTGAAGGTAAGTATACATCATGCTAATAAAATACCTGATCATAATCTGATTCTACTTGATGATGCTCAACAGGCCAAGAAAATGTTAAAAGTTTACTAAATTCAGGCCCTAACACTGCAAATGATTACGCCAATATTTTCGATGAGCCAATCCTCGGCGTTTGTGTGGATCCAATATCAATTACCGTAGGTTCCCCGTGTTTTAAATTCAGGGGCAAACTTGCAAAGTTGATCGAGGGCCGCATTTTAAATGCACTAGAAAGCTCGAGAATCTACCACTTCGCTCGTTTAAGCAGCGCGAACTACGCAAAAAAAGGGATTTCATGGATTTTGCGCGCTGCGTTATCATAAAGATTGGGGATCGATCCAGTCATCATTCGTGGTTGCCGACAGCCAGTTTTTGGAAGTGGTCGACTATGCCGCTTCGTAGTCCCTTTAAGGTCAAAACTGAAAATTATTTGGTGGCAGGCTAGCTGTGTTTTTTGGCAAAATATAATCCGTTGTGATCGATCCGTCTTTAGAGGCCATAACCACATCTTCTTCCTCGAGGAGCTCGTCTTTATTTTGGTGGCTATGGTATGCAAACTTTAAAATTAATTTTTGGCTTTGGGTGAACTTTTGCTTCGAAAAGCAGGCACGTATAAAGACATGCAATCGGCTAGTTACGGAAGCGCGAGCAAATGCGTCGTTTGGCGCCAGGGATCTGCCTTCATAATGCGTCGAAATTTCTGCTTTCGAAATTAATATCCAAATTTCAAATTTTCGAAAATTTGTGCGGTTTTTTGGGGTATTTAGGGGTTTTCCGGTAATTTTTTTAAGGTAGACCAGGGTTGAAAAGCCGCTTCGCGACTTTTCAACCCTGGCCCCGTGTTACCCTATGATGTTTTTCATTTTGCATAATTGTGCCTCAATTCCGATGACAAAAAAAAAATGAAAAATGCTCCCCTTGAGCCTTTATATAGGCTACTGCCACTTCCGGCGTATGCTAATTTTTCCTAACAAAGTGGGTGGCCGAATTTTCACGAAAAACTTAATTTTAACATCGAAAACAACATATTTTACAAAATCTGATATGTGTGCAGTCATCCCTAGACCATTACGCATCCAATGACGTATCAAACACCTCCTTGCGTGTGTCTGATATGTGTGCAGTCCAATTTTGAGCTATTCTCCGGACACGCTGACGGAAGTTGCATGCAAAGTGTCATACACACACACACACAGACACTATTTTTTTATATATTAAGGTAGATTTCGAAATCCTTAAATTTGGACGTTATCAAATTGCGAGATTAGGAAATTTCGATATTGAATTACGATATTTTGTGATCCTCTGTCCCTTTAACACCTTTTTAGACAAGCATGCTGAACCCCTGTATCACCACCTACTACGTGTCACCATATCGCAAAGAACTCCAAAAACTCCTTTGTTTCTGGAGACGAACCCAGGACTTCTCCCGCAAGATCTACAGCGAGACGAAGAATTCACACACCAAGGACTCCAAATTGCAACACACAAATGAGCTTTTTTGAGCGGGAATAAAGAAATTCGTCGGAATTTTGGCAGCTGAAATAGGGGTTCAAAAACGCTAATTGGCGCCAGGCAGGTGATGATTCCTTTAGAGTTGCGTGGAGCGCTACATGGCGCATTTGATGAAAAAAGATTTTCAGAACATATTATATCACTCGAAAAAGTGCAAAACGATTACGGTAATAGCGAAAAATTGGCTATAATAATTATTATTTACCCAGCCATTAAATATCAATATTTTCATACAAATCTTAGGTTTTAGATTTATTTTTGTTTTGCTTTTTCTTGACTATGTCAAACAACTGTATTTTTATTGTGTTTTTTATTGATATTAATGCTCTAATTTTGCTAAGACATGTATGCGGATCTAACCGGTTCTTTTGCATTATCAGGGGGAAGTTAGGGCGCAAACCAACTCCCACACTATTTGCTTTTTTCTAATTTTTCTAGAATAAATAGACAAATGCTTTTTATACTCTGTACGCAGAATAAAGTCAAACAATTTCCAAATTTTTATTGAAAAACCAAAACTATTTTTTGAAGCTATTTTTCCAGATGATTTTTACTTTTAATGTTTTTATTTGATTGATCTACACTGCTGGACATAATTTTGGGTTCACCCAAAGATTGCACCGTTTGTGGCACAACAGTGGGGCTTTGGCTGTGAGGATCAAGTATATGGTTTGCAAAGGATACTCTTACCAGAGCCTCAAAGGACTTTCATGAAAAATTTTTAGTTTTTTGTTAAAATGATTTTTTTGTAAAAATAGCGTCCTGGCAAGTGGTCATAATTTTGGGTTCACCCCCCGAAAAGCGGGATGAAATGAACTTCGGCTTTTTCTTTTTCTTTTCTTGGGCTCTCTTAGTTTTTTTGTAAGATTGTATTTAATTTTGGCATGTTTTTTATAACGCAAAAATTACGGTAAGAAAACGATTTATCTTCGCTCCATTAGTGTTTCTTGCAAAATTGGACTTTCTTTTTGAGATATTCTTTATAAAGCAAAAATTACAGTAAGAAAACGAGCCTAAAATTACCAAGCAAGCGGCCCTTCCGGTCCCCGCGAAAAATCCGTTCCAGGTCCAGCAACATAGCTCACT